TTTTGTGTCATTTTTCAGGAGAAACAAAAAAGTGTTTCCACAACAAACTAAAGCTAAATGGGCCAACGTTGTAAATGTAGTCAGTAAAACATGACTAACAATTCTGACAATTTTCATAAGTGGTATTCTACTCTGTCTAGAGTTTCTGTGAGTTACTCCCTTGCATGAAAGTGGAAAAAAGAGTCATTTCTACTTGCCTCTCAAATAAGATGGAATTTGGAGGTAACTCAAGAACATGTGGAAAAAGGATCTATCTCAACTCGTGTCCAAATTATCCTGTTGCATTTGGAGTTTCATCAAATTTGAGCTTTTTGGCTTCGTAGGGGATAAATGGACTTACCTTTTTTTTGCAACCGTGACATTTAGACTCAATTGCACTTGCCTCCAAATGCCACTGTGACATTTAGACACAATCGTACTTGTCTCCAATTGCAATGGGATAATTTGGACACAAGTTGAGATGACTCCTTTGTCCTATGCATGCGTAAAGATATAACTTGAGCCAGCTCCTTTTTCCAAGCTTTTCATCGGACTCATGGGATATTGGTGAGTTGACTCTATTTTATGCTCAGTTGAGACCGTAAAAGGAGCCAAAGTCAAGATATATCCTTTTTCCATGTTGGTTTTCTCTCAAACTACTTGGAATTGAGTCAAACAATTTGGTGTGGCCATGCCAACCATTTTACACTCAAAATGTCTTCCAAAGAAATTTTACATAAACGTGGGAAAATGGCGAAAACAAAAAAGAAGGTGGTTTTCCTTCGCACTACAAGGTTTTTCTTTGCATATTACAAGGAAAAAGCTATTGTTTTGGGCATTTTTGAATCTTTTAGATCTATCGGAGGCACAAATGGTGTTGTAAAGGTGGTTAACAACAAGGCACTTTGTTCCTGATGAGCCCCGCACGTTATCAAGGTAAAAAAAATCGATTCTGGGCCATTTTATTCGACGGCCTCCTACACTATCTTACAGAGTCAAATGTAGCTTTGTTAGTTGTACGCGGCCGTAGCCTTGTACATCGTAGTCAAGGGACCATACACTGTAAAGTGTGTTGTCAATACACACATCACTGCAAAAAAAATCCATCTTAATTTTAAGAAGCAGTGAAGCAGTTTACAAAGATTTTTTGCTATTAAAAGTAAGAAACTTTCTCCTCTTAAGGGGAGGTTCTGGTGAAAATGCTATTTTCTCCTAAATAGGTCCCACTGTGAAAATTTGTTAAAAATTTGATGTCTTATCAAGTATTTATTAAATTTTTTTTGGGGAGGCACATTCTATGCCCTGAATCCAGTCGCAGAGCCTTTTTCTCCCATTTAGGCTAACTTAAAAGTCTTCCCACGCATACTATTTGTCGTAAAGTTGGCTTAGACATTTTTCACTTCTTCGATTCATTTTTTAAAAATGCCGGCATGCCCATCTCAAATGTCAATTTCATTTTTTTCGCAAACTTTCTAACCAGGGATTTCACTAAAATTGATCAAAAATGTACAAAAAAGACAAATTTTAGGGACTTTTCAGCTTAAAAGCTAAAATTAATAATAAATGGAAGTTTTGAGCTATGCATGCCGGAATCTTTTGAAAATGAGTCGAAGAATGAAAATTTCAAGGTCAACCTTTTACGACAAAAGTACGCAAGGAATTTTTCAAAATACAGTCCAAAAAAGGCTCAAAAAGACTCTTCGACTGGTTTACAGCCTGGCATGTGCCTTCAAAAGTCAAATTTAGTCTCCCCAATGAAAAAATTTTTATTCCGAACAAAATGACTGTAGGGTCCATTTGGAAAATGGCAAGATTTTCACCGAACCTCCCCTTAAACTAATGACCCAAATTTTTAAATTCATAGATTATGGTTTATTAAAATTCATAAATATATTTGACTATAAAGTGATAGAAGCGAAGGGAAAGAACTTCTGTACTGACGTCCAATTTATAATATGGATCACGGTATTCTGAAATACACCTTTCATCTTGACCCTTAAAAGAGTCGATTATCAAAAATGAGTCGAAGTACGAAGGCAGAAGAATCGTGAGTCTTCCAGCGTTCAACTGTGTCACTGTCGAGGAGGTGCCTGGACCTAACCTAATGGCCGACAGCAGACGCCAGCGAGTGGCAACATAGTTATGCGTTTTTCTCAATTTCAGTGGAATATTTTGTTTAAAAATTTGAGCTAGCGGCTAGAGAAGACATTTACTAAGGCAACAGATAGTATCATATCATTTGCCAAAAGAAGTTCTTTTAGAAATACAAATACAAATATTCGGGAACGGACACGGCGCTCCAAGCGCCACCTAGCGGCAGGTCTGTGAAACCTGACCTTAAACCCAGCGGATGACTGTGGACCATACCGTGTGAGAAGTGGCTTGTCGACAGTTTGCGTGAAGTAATCAAACTAAACCTTCAGTTTGTGTTGAATATGACAGCTATCACTAAAGCTTAAACTTAACTTCAATCAGTTAGTTTCAGAAATCTAGTTATGAAAAGTCATCAGTCATGTGGATTTTGAGAAAAAATTTTTACTTTTGGCAGGCAATCTTAATTTTGACAACCCAGTTTCTAATTTTTAAAAGTGGTTTTAAAAATTTACCAACTATTTATTATTTTTTCTTTTTAGTTTTGGAAAATTGCTAAAGTATAGCACTTTTCACAAACTTTTCTGAGTTTTCACATCATTTCAAAATGTTATTAAATTTAAGACATTTTCATGTCTTAAATTTCAGAATTTTTTTTGCAGTGATGAGGGCTCTATGTGTATACTCATTACACTGTTACGTTAATTCCAATTCTTATACCTTCTTGAACCACCACCACTAATTTACAAGGTAGGTTTACGCCAGACCGCGTCTTGTCGTAACAGGCTTCGCGATGTCTCGCTGCCTGTTTCTCCAATCCGCGCCTGGCGTACCTACCTTGGCCTGCGGTCGTCGGTTCTTACTTGTTACATGCTGGGGGGGCTCCGCCCCCCAGACCCCCATCATTGTAGATAGAGTTGCTTCATCTACAGATAACACGATCTTGACCCTTCTAAACTTTAAGGTTGTCGGGACTGAGGGGCTCCGCCCCTCAGACCCCCCTTTCTTCAGACAGAAAGGGGGCGGGGCCAAACCCTTTTTTGCGTTTTTTAGGTGTTTTTTGGGTTTTAAAAAATGAACCCCCTGAGCTAGGATAGTGAAATTTCGCGGGGCTGAGCCAAGAACATACCTAACAGCCTGCAAAATCTCAGCCAGATCGGCCGAGCCGTTCAGGAGGAGTAGTGCACACACACACGCACACACACAGACAGACAGAAATTTTTTTTAACCCCACTGGAGTAACGGGCTTCGCTGTCGCTCAGCCAATAATATAAATTTAAAAACAATACAGGACAATTAATTTGTTTTTACCTCACCTGGATGAACGAAGTTCTTTCTTTTTGGAAAAAGATAACGTTGCTGATGCTTCATGTCCTCATGAGAAAATGACTTAAGGGCCCGGACAGGTGAAAAAATGATCTCAGAAACTGCTGGTCCAAAAATTCTTATTTTCTGTCAAAATCTTACTCTTGTGATAAACTATTTCACCCAAATCCCATCCCATAATATCAAGCGGTTCCTGAGATACAGGCTTTTTTATAATTTTTTAAGTGTTTGTTAAAAATTCCTGTGCGTTTCCCATTTTGGGTTATTGACCTGACCGACATATTTTTTTGTTCGTCTAAGTCCAAAGAACAACGCAAGTGACAGATTTTAGTTTCCGGCACTGATAGCAAAATACCAACTTTTCAATTTTGAATTTTTCAAAAAACCCAAAAATTTTCCCTTTTTTTTAAAACCGATATCCAAAAACCCTACTTTTGGGTGGAATATACAAAAACTTCACTTGCGTTTCCTCGCAATAAACCCACTGAGTCAGTGGAAAAAAAATCATTGACGACACTCAAAAATTTTTTGCGCACAGGACCATTCAAATGTTAAAAAATGTCTTCGGAGAAAAGGGCGTTTAAAAATTTGGTGACAGATTTTAAAGGGTTTTCAGCCAAAAAATCTCCTTGCGCATACTATTTTGTCGTAAAAAGGGTTTACCTGGATATTTTTCACTTCTTCGATTCATTTTAAAAAATCCCAGCATGCACAACTGAAATGTCCATTACATTTCATTGGCAAGCTTCTAAAGCATCATTTCACTTAAATTGATCAACAATGTACAAAATAGACAAGTTTTTGTGACTTCTTAGATGAAAAAGCATGTGATTACTAATATAATGGAAATTTTGAACTAGGCATGCTGGAATCTTTTTAAAATGAATCGAAGAAGTGAAAATGTGAAGATAACCTTTTACGTCAAAATAGTATGCGCAAGAGGATTGTTCAAAATACGGCTAAAAAAAGCCAAAACAGTCCAAAAAAGACAATTCGACTGGGTTCAAGACCTAGCATATGCCTTCAAAAATCAAATCTTAGTCTCTTTGAAGTATGATTTCATATTCCCAACAAATTATGACAGTGGGGTTCATTTTGAAAATGGCAAGATTTTCGCTAGAACCCCCCCCCCCTTGATGGCAAAACGGACAATTTTACTAAAGTGTCGTAAATGCAGGAGTGTGCGAAAAGATGTATTTTAAGCACTTCCAGGTCCCGGATAGTCGAAGTCCCGACAGATCCTGAAAGAGGAAGGTCCAAAGGACCATTTTCCACCCAGAACTCATTTCATTCAATTTCACCAAACTTCTTCATTTTTTCACCTGTCCCTGGCCTTAAAACGTGATAGGGATGACGTCATGTCTCCGTCGTGATAATTTCAAAAAACCTTCGCGGAAAATTCGCACTTCAGGTGCGTTGCCTGTTTATTGCCGTCGTGCCCGCCGATCGAAAACAGCGAGTGGCCGGTGCGTCACGCCGCTCTTAAAAGGAAGAAACACGAGCGAAGCGAGCGCAGACCTGCCTTTGGCGACACTGCGCCGAATTGACCAGGAGTTGTCACCATGAATTCGCTCCTGCTGCTGGTCTGTCTCCTCCCGGCCACCGCGCTGGCGGGTGGATGGAACAGGAACTGCATCACAAAGCCTGTCGGATTCGGCTACAAGACCACCGGTGGTCAAGGAGGTGAGTGAGGAGGGTTAGTTAGCACATAACATGGAATACACAATAAACTCATCCTTCAATCGATATTTTATCAATATTGACGTCTGGTACATTAAAACTTAGTTAAGGAGCTAGACAGATTTGTCAAGACGAAATTGATGTAAATGTTTCCAAAGCAATTAAAAATGTTAATATGCTCATTAATGTGCACAATCGTCTCGATTTTAAACACAAACTCAGTACAAGTCAACAACAAAAACCAACGCCGTGGTAGGGGACACTCTTTTGAACTATCACTGGCCAGCCGGCCAGCCGATCCAAATGGCCACGTTCAAAAACAACGTCTGCGCTATCGTTGGATCTCTTCAAGCTGCAGTGGAAGACAATTTTGATTCGAACGCACTTTTTCAGTTGAGCAAGCGTTATTGGGGGGAGCGAAAAGGAGCGCTGCCATTCGTCACATTCAATTTTTGGTGGCTCGGCTCCCCTCTCTCCCTGTTTCTGGCTATCGAGTCGAGCTTTGCTATAGAAACAGTGGTTTTGACGGCAAATTTCTCATAAAGACACATTTCAACCATATTTCAACATTAAAATCACGGTAATCTCGGCGAGGCTGGATCCTGGGAATACTGCAACGCTATTTCGTGCCTAAAAATAAATATTTCGAGTTACGATCTTAAACTAAAATACGGTACTACACGATTTACATTCAAAATTGCTCTTTTTCGAACTACAGGCAAGACTGTGACTCCCAAGAACACCAACGAACTCAAGAGTTACTTGGGTAGTAATCAAAAGCTGATCATCGTCCTGGACAGAACATACGACTTTACCAACTCTGAGGGCTGGGCGACCAGCACTGGGTGCTACTTCCAGAAGTGTGGCAGTGGATTCCAAGAGTCCTTGGCCCACGCTGGTACCTGCAATGGCAAGTCGTCGACCCAGGTTAGTACCTTTCGGGGGAAGGATAACAGAGAAAGTATAGTGTCACCATCCTTGTCAACAGTTTGCCTGCACCTGCACCGTTTCCTATTTGTTCTTGAAAATTTGGTAAACTCAATTCGTACTGATCACATTAAAAAGCAGGTGAAGTGTGTGTTCGCATTGCCATGGAATTGCTCTGCACTCTGCAGAGAAAACTGGATCTCGCACGGAAAATTACTGATGTTCAGGGAGAAATTTCCCTGCAAGACTGATAATACAGTTGCTTGTAGACTTGCAAGGAAATTCCTTTGCAAAACGTGACCTTTTTTCCTGTAAGACTCTACTTTGACCCACTGAAAGGTATTGAATATGTGTCTGTGGGCTGACACTGAGCCTTTCCGCTCGTCCTTGGATTCAAGCGAAAGTGGAGCCTCAGGCAAATGCCTTTCTTTTTCTTGTTTACACGATTGTTTGAAACTCCCAGGTTTGAGCTTCGAAAACCGCCTTCATTCTCATTCCAGGAACATGACGTCACGTTGGAACGAATGTGACGAAATGTCCCGTTCCTTTGAGTGTGCCTCATTAGTTTTCAATTTGAACAAGCTAAGTTTTGGCAAATTCGCATCCAAACGAATGCGAGACATGCTTTGCAAAGCTCAAAGAACCGTGACATTTTGTCACATTTCAACGTGACGTTACATTCCTGGAATGAGCGTGTAATGACAATCCAGTTCCGCTTTGAACTGGGGCTTAAACGAATAAACAAAATAGGGGAATTTAACTTATTAAACTAAGAAGCTCCGGTTTCCTTGTTCAGGTGAAATACGCCAAGGGGCCCGGCACCACTGAAATCGTGATCGGCTCCAACAAGTCCATCATCGGCAAGAACGGCAAGGGCGTCATCAAGGGCAAGGGCCTGCGCATCAAGAACGCGCAGAACGTCATCATCCGCGACATCAGCATCACCGACATCAACCCACAGGTCATCTGGGCCGGGGACGCGCTGGCCTTCGACAACGCGCAGAACGTGTGGGTGCAAGGCGTCACCTTCGCGGTAAGGACTCGCCCAACGGGTTGCCGGTGTTCGGCCGAAGCAGAAGTGGTTTTCTGTCACTTATAAACGTCCACTCTGCGAATGAAAGAGCCATCATCACGACTAAAATTGTGGTCGTGATAGTGTTTATCGACCTATTGGGTGAGAATCACTTAATCACCCAACTTTGGGCGAGGAAGCTTTCCTCACCCAAATATGGGTGAGAATACAATCTGGCCATTTAGGCAGCTGATATTCCCTAATCACGGATGGGAAATCATGGATGAGAAAATAATCCTAACTCAAATTTCGGTGATGAAGTATACCTCGCCCAAAATTGAGTCTTGACCAATACTTTTTCATTCTCATTGTATGGGACGGAATTTTTCCTTGCGTTTGCGTGCTTAATTGGTAGGGCCAGACCTAAATAATTTTGCATTGATGTGTAGCCTTTCACATCCTGTACTTAGCATTCAGACTTATTTTGTCACGTTTTCATTCAGGAGAGAAATTTCACCATAAGAGTCCACACCTGGGTCATTCCACGCCAAGTCGTCAAGGTTTTGAGGGACGTGTCGGCCGAACCCAGCGGTATTTTCAGGGATTGTTGGCCCTATGGGCCCATTGAAGGCCCGGTACTTTTTTCCCCGGAAAGTCGACAGGGGTCTGAGATATCTCAAACTTCATTTTTGGTAAAAGAAATTACCTATCAACCTAAAAAAATTTATACCTCGGAAAGTATTTGTCCTTTCTCAAAACCGCTTATACCGTTGGAAAGAAGAAGAAAAACTGAAAAAGATGGGATTTTTTCCAAAAATTCTTGGAAACTTTTACTTTTTGCACTTTTATAGTGAAATGTTAAAAATTATGCAACTTTTTTGTACCCTGATCAAAAATGGCGTTCTATGGCTCAAAATGTACCTTGATATGTCCTCTAAACGAAAAGATCAACGCCCCAATGTATTTTATTTAGTTCCGGAGAACGAGCGGTTCTTGTGGACCACTGCAAGGCTACTTTCCCGCTGGAACGGCTCCCACGCCACGCTCGCCTTCTCTGTGTTAGCGGACGTGATCGCCAGGGTTCGGCGACCGTCAGGTAGGATTCCCACCTCACTTTTCAGCCCACAAACGAAGCGCTGGACCTCAGCGCCTGAAGGGCAAGCAAGGGAGAGACTGGGAAGCACGAAGGGTCACCTACACACACATTTTTGGGGGTTGGCCGCGACTGTGCTCCGCGGTGCGCGTCGCCGCCGGTGGCGGATTGCGGAACTAACGAACTTGGTGGTGTGTGTTGTTTCTGACCATCGCTTGTTTGGCTTAGGTGTCAGGCAGAAAGGTTCGGATACTTGCTGAATCACGCCCTGCGTTTGTTCCTGGCAGTTTGGAGGTGAACTATATAAGTTCTACACTGGAGAATATCTTTGCGTGGCTTAAGTCTGATTCATTTGCTGGTTCAGATTCACGACGGGCTCTCTGCCGTAGTTTGATTTTTGTTTCCCTTTCCAACCCAACCACTTTTTAGTCATCTTTTACTGGCTTTGTCACTGTTGTCAAAATGTTTCAAGTATGCACTTGTTCTGTGTTCTCGGAGGGGTCAGTGCGGAGAAAATATGGGCAGGGGAATAACTGAACACCAAATATTTTACTTTGACTGAAGGTGTGTTTTTCATAGTTGATATTTGTTTGGCTTAGAGGACACGATCCTTGTACCCCTGTGACCAGAAACCCAACCTGAATCCCTACCCCAAACCGAGTTGAGCCCCGGCGTGAGCTTGATACGGCCCCGATCTAGGCCCGGACTCGAGCCTCAGGTCGGGGCTCAATCCGGGCTCATGTCGGACCTCCAGATATAAGGGCTTTGGGTCAAGGCTCAAGTCTTGGCACAAATAGGTAATACAAACAGGCATATTTGCAATATTTTGACAGCAGTGACAAAACTAGTTAAAGATGACTAAAAGCTGGTTGGGTTGGGAAGAAAAACGAAAATCTACATTCAAGAAACGTTCATGGAAGCATACGATACTCGTTTGGTGCTGTCCGCGCACGCCGAGCCGTGACGACCCGTAGGGCTGTACCTGGGGAGTATCGGTGTTCCACGCAGGCTGCGAGCCACCCATTTACTCACTCTCCCGCCCCGGCAGCCAGCCCCTTAAGTTGTTAGGATACGCACTTGGTTTCTGAACGTGGTCTATACCGCACCAACTAGTGTGGTCAAATGGGTGCCAACCACGTTTGGTGCGTTGCAAATATTGCAAATATGCCTTTTCTATAGAACTTATATAGTTCACCTCCAAACTGCCAGGAACAAACGCAGGGCGAGATTCAGCAAGTATCCGAACCTTTCTGCCTGACACCTAATCCAAACAAGCGATGGTTAGAAACAACACACACCACCAAGTTCGTTAGTTCCGCAATCCGCCACCGGCGGCGACGCGCACCGCGGAGCACAGTCGCGGCCAACCCCCAAAAATGTGTGTGTAGGTGACCCTTCGTGCTTCCCAGTCTCTCCCTTGCTTGCCCTTCAGGCGCTGAGGTCCAGCGCTTCCTTAGTGGGCTGGAAAGTGAGGTGAGAATCCTACCTGACGGTCGCCGAACCCTGGCGATCACGTCCGCTAACACAAAGAAGGCGAGCGTGGCGTGGGAGCCGTTCCAGCGGGAAAGTAGCCTTGCAGTGGTCCACAAGAACCGCTCGTTCTCCGGAACTAAACAAAATACATTGGGGCGTTGATCTTTTCGTTTAGAGGACATATCAAGGTACATTTTGAGCCATAGAACGCCATTTTTGATCAGGGTACAAAAAAGTTGCATAATTTTTAACATTTCACTATAAAAGTGCAAAAAGTAAAAGTTTCCAAGAATTTTTGGAAAAAATCCCATCTTTTTCAGTTTTTCTTCCTCTTTCCAACGGTATAAGCGGTTTTGAGAAAGGACAAATACTTTCCGAGATATAAATTTTTTTAGGTTGATAGGTAATTTCTTTTACCAAAAATGAAGTTTGAGATATCTCAGACCCCTGTCGACTTTCCGGGGAAAAAAGTACCGGGCCTTCAATGGGCCCATAGGGCCAACAATCCCTGAAAATACCGCTGGGTTCGGCCGACACGTCCCTCAAAACCTTGACGACTTGGCGTGGAATGACCCACCTGCCCCAATGTGGACTGTACGGGGGCTTACTGGGACAGCAACAAAGATACAACAAATCCGTGCATTTAGAATTGAGGACTGCCTGCCTTGTCGTAGAAAAAGTTGTACTGCATACAATGAGCATACAATCAGATCCTTGGCTTAACACGTTCCTTTGGGAACGAGAAGCGTGTTCTCGTTCACGGGAAGGCGTTCGCTCCGACACGTGAAACACTGTTCTCCGGGACCTGAAAATGCCTTTCTTCTTGCAGCGAATCGGGCGTCAGCACCTTGTGTCCTATCAGAACCAAAACAAGGGCATCACAGTGTCGTCGTGCCTCTTCGACGGGACCTCCAAGAACTCAGCCCTGTGCGACGGCGCCCACTACTGGGTGTGGCTCTTCTGGGGCACGCACGACGAGATCACGCTCATCAACAACCACGTGCTCAACACCGCGGGGAGGACCCCACACGCGGGCGGTTGGGGCAAAGCGCAGGTAGGTGGTTGAAGCCAACAATTTCAGCAGTTCAATTACTCAAACTCTCCACCCTTTTCACAGTCAAAACCCTAGGAAGAATCGCTTCGTAATACGACGAAAATGAAGGTATTATGAAATCTACGGAGTAATGCTTCGTATTATGAAGCAAAATCCTTCGCGATAGGAAGCAGTTCCAAAGTACGAAGCAGCTCTACAGGGTCTTTATTTTCTTCGTGGTAGTGGTAGAAGCAAATGCTGCGTTTTTAGTTCGGGCACGTGAAAAGATTTTCTTAATTGATCCAGGAAGCGGAAGAAGGGGATAACTCCATTTTGACCATTTTTCAGGAGCAACAAAAACCTGTTAGCAGGGAAATCTGAAACTGAACAATGGAATGTTATAGATGATAACAAGTTATAAAAAAGGAAGTTAAATTTTGAGATAAACATCACGAGTGTCAAGTCACTGCGTTTAGGATATCTGTGACTTATCACTTTCCGCTAAAATGGAAAACAGAGTCATCTCAACTTAAATTTCTTAAACCAAGTGGAATTCGGAGACATGTCAAGTGGAACTATAGTCAGCAGAGAGTGTTGGTTCATCTGGTGCATTTTTTGGACTTAGCTCTTTTTTCCGTTTAAGTTCTTAAAATTAAAAGGGGGTAAGTTGACTTGATTCTTTTTACAATAGATACAAAAAAAACACAAGTTGAGTTATCTCCTATCAACAATATGTTGAACGGAGTCATGTTGACTTTGGTTGAGATGATTCTATTTTCCGCTAAATTGAGAGTGAAAAAGGAGTCAAGTTGAGTTACATCTTTTTTCAAAGTGGATTTTCTGTTTAACTGCTAGGAATTGAGTCAAATAATTTGGTGCAATGATGCAAACCATTCCAAGGCACAACGACATAATAAAAACTCAATTTGGAGATAAGTCGAATTATTCCCTTCTTCCGCTTCCTGGATCAATTAGCCTAAGGCATGCCTTTATTGGCCAATTGAAGGAAAGGCAGATGAACTTTTTGCACAATTTTGTGAGCTTCTTTTGGCCAAGAATGTGTGCAGTTTCTCGTACCGAGGGGAAACAGCTTCAAGTTTGGTTTACTCTTACCTTGAAATAACGTGGTAAAAGGCTGCAATAACGTCCAATTAACGTGACAGAACTTTGAAATAATGTGAAATAACAATCCATGAGGCGGAAGAAGGCAATAACTTTCTAGATCTCCAAAATGAGGCTTTATCTTATGTACTATTGTGCCGGTTTGCATGGTTTGCATCATTACACCAAATTATCTCAGTCCTAGAGCACTGTAGGAGAAAATCCTCATAGGAAATGGATATAACAACTTGACCCTTTTTACGGTCTAATCAAGCGCGGATCGGGGGGGGGGAGACAATTGTTCCCCCCCCCCCCACGACCCCTAGATAGACGCCTTAAAAGTAGGCAAAAAGCATCACTTTGCTCCTGTAAGTAGGCAAAAAGTGCTACTTTGCCCCCCCCCCCCCTTTGGCCGCCTCTGGATCCGCCACTGGGCCTTATTTTTATTGGGTTCACCAGCACCGGTGAGTCTGCTGGAAAAAATTTCCGTGGCAAGTATAAAGCGGCAATTTACCTCGTGAAGTGTCACCCCCTCGCTCCCAATTATTCTTTGTTCCATTGTAACGAAATTTGGTTATTTTCCCTTTTAGCCCTACATCCATTTGATTGGCAATTACATGGATCAAAACCCCCACACTGGAATTGAGCCGAAGACTGGATCGTACATCCTAGCCGAGGGCAACATCTTCAAGAAGTTCTCCAACGTAAGTTCCTTGGTGTCTTGTTGGTTTAAGCACACCCAGGACCTAGAACCTTGCAAAGTGTTAACAGAGAAAAGGTTTGAAAATTACGAAGTTGTTTCTTCTGAATGTTCAAAATAGTTTGTTGTAACAAGCTAGTTTTCTTTTCAAGGCGCAAAATAGTTTGTAAGGTTGTCAGAGCGAGGTTTGGTGGAGAGGAAACACAATCAGCTCTCCGCTGGATCGTTGACGCGAGTACGCTGTGCTCATCCTGTGTTGTGATTTTAAGTTGCTGTCGACCGAAAACTGTAGAAGTTCGAGAAGAAGCGCGTGCGGGTGTGGGAGAGAGAGAAACTTTGACATTTGTTTATTAGGTCCTACTTTTAAAGGACCAAACAGTCCCACTTCAAAAGTAGACCCTCCCAGGTCTAAAAATCTCGTTAGATCATACGGGATTTGAAAATTCGTTAAGGGATTCCCGTACTACTATACGAGATCCCGAGCCATACAGGATCCTGAGGTGGACGGGATCCCGTGAGGACACACGGGATCCTTTAACGAATTTTCAAAATCCCGCATGCTGGGACAGGATCCTGTACGCCAGGACGGGATCTCGTATGCCGGAAAGGAATCCTTTACCTACTAAAAGGATCCTGTAAAGTACAGAGAAAGACGTGAAAATGCAAGTTCTTCTGCAGATAGAATCAACTGATTGAATCATCTGGGAGGTTGGAACCGAGATCTATCCAAATCTGCAGTCAAAATTTGGATAACTCCAGCGGTTCTCGAGATAGCAGAAAAAAGTTGTTAGATTTCAATAAAATTCAAATGGCACTGGTGAATTTTAGCGAATATACCCCATACAAAATTTGAGCTTAAAATGTTAAAAACTTTCCGAGTTACAGCATACACTGAGAATGAATTGGTCACCACCATCACCCTTTAAATGGGTGATGCAACTTCGTTGCCCAAATTTTGGTAACGAAAAATTCATCACCCGAAATTTGGTAACAGGCGTTTGGTCGCCCAAATTTGGGTAACGCCGTCGGCGACGCCGTGGGGTTTCCCCGATGACGTCCCCCCGGGGGCCCACACGATGACCGGAGGCCTCAACGCCCCATTGGGCCCGATTGGCCCCGGTAGAGCGCCATGGGGGACCTCACGGCGTCGCCGACAACGTTACCCAAATTTGGGCGACGGTTTTATGACTGCCCAAAATTTGGTCACCGCGGGCTCGTCACCCAAATTTGGGCAACGGCGCGTGCGTTACCCAATGAAAAGGTGATGGTGGTGACTCTTTCATTCTCAGTGATACCTTAATTTGAAATCCCGTGCGTACTTCCCGGGATCTCGGCAGCATAAGGGATCCCGCAAGACCATCACGGGATCCCGTGTGGCTCTTCCCGGATCTCGGCAGCGTGCGGGATCCCGTACAACCCTCTCGGGATCCTGTGCAGCCCTCCCGGGATCCCGGCTACTTAAGGGATCCCGTATGACCCTCTCGGGATCTTGTGTGACCCTTACCGGATCCCGTTAGGTCTTAAGGGATCCTGTGCGACCCTCCCGGGATGTCGAGTGTTCTTACGGGATCCCGCAAAACCATACGAGATCTCGTAAATCTAGACGGGATCCTGCAAAATGATACAGGATCCCGTAAACCACACAAGATTTTTAGACCTGGGCTCCAATGAAAGAACATGGGCGGGTAGACTCGTACAACGACACAGGTAAAAAAAATAATACGTATGCAAAATAACATAAAGAGGAAAGTAATAGTGATACAGGAAATTACAGAGTTTTGGCAGACTATCACGGTGAATCCATCGCCTGGGATTCCCAGGGCATTTTTCGTGCTTCCAGGAGGCCTGACGTGTTCCCAGGGCGGACCCTGGAAATGGCGTAAAATTTCCAGGACCGACCCTGGGACACGCGAAATTTTCCCAGGACGGCCCTGGGAGTCGCTTCCGGCCCAGAAGACCCAGGGACCGTCCTGGGAAAATTTGGCAATTCCCAGGGCCAGCCCTGGGAATTTTATGCGGTAACCAGGATGCGTCCTGGGAATCGATTTGCGACCTGGGAGTCACCGCGATGGAGTCGTCGAGGTCCCCAGGACACGGGGAGTCTAACGCCGAGGTCGCCGACGCTCTAGCACTCTCATTCCAGGAACGTGACATCACGTTGAAACGAACGTGACAAAGTGTCACGTTCGTTTGAGCATTGTGTCACGTTCGTTTGAATGTGAACGAGCTGGTTTTCGGCCAATTCACACCCAAACGAATGTGACACAATGCTCAAACGAACGTGACAGTTTGTCACGTTCGTTTCAACGTGATGTCACGTTCCTAGAATGAGAGTGAGGACAAGCGGTTCCGGAGATACGAGGACGTACCACAAGGAGTCCGCCAAAGCAAATTGCTTTTTAGTCGGAGGCCAAATTTGCTTCGGCCTCTGGCTGCGTTTCATTTGGGTGTCCGGGACTTTTGACTTCGGTATCGTCTTAAGGGTGCTAGACTACCAGGAACCCCTCAGCGGTTCTCGTCGGACCTCCGGTGCGCCCAGCATGCCGACGAACGTGGGTGCTGTGCCGCCATACGGTTCAACACCGTTGTCGTCACCACCCAGGTTAACTGGTGGTGTATTCGAGGTCTCCAGGACACGGGGCGTCCAACGCCGAGGTCGCCGAGGTTCAAGGACAAGCGGTTCCAGAGAAACGAGGACGTACCACAAGGAGTCCGTCAAAGCAACTTTTCAGTCAGAGGCCAAAACAGCTTCGGCCTGTGGCCGCGTGCCATTTAAGTTTCCGGGACTTTTGACTTAAGCATCGCGCTGGTGTTGTTCTGGGCTACCACGAACCCGTCAGGGGTCGTCGTCGGACCCACCGGTGTGCCCAGGATGCCGACGAACGTGGGTACTGTGCAGCCTATTACGGATCATTACCGTTACCACCACCACCCAGGAGCTGCCCGGTGGTGCACTGGTAGAACACTCGAGCGTACTTTTGCGCCTTTCTTCAAGCGTAGTAGAACTACGCTCGGCTTCAAGCATAGTTCTCCATTTCGCCCCTCTCCCTAAATGCATTGGAGGATTTCTTCTCTACGCTTGACGTCAAGCGCAAAGTCTTCAAGCGTAGTTGTATGATTGAATGAAGCATACAACTACGCTCCAGTTTTACCAGTGTGTATCCACGTTCCTCGGGACGTCGGAACAACAACGCCGAGACCACCGACGCTCTATGACCAGAGCTTCCGGAGATAGGACGTACTGCGAGGAGCAAATTTGGCCTCCGACTAAAAATCTCATTCAACGAACGTTAATGAAAGCAGATGATACTCGTTTGGTTTTCTTCTAGGTAGTTGTTCAGGATTAATTGTGTAAGAAATAAAATAGATAGCCCAATAAATAGACCTAAGCGAGCTGGGAGCTGGCCAGTGGTTCGAGCCGAGCTGTGGTTTGCGCTTGCATCCGCTTGCACCCTGCACCGATGCGCCGCGCCCCGAGCTATGCCGAGCCTTGAGGCATTGTTGCTGTTCTGTGCGCTGTACCCGGGGAGGAACTGTGCGAGAGGAGGCAGGGCATTGTTGGCCGGTGCCGCTCGCGCTGTACCTGGGAGGGATTGTCGATGTTCCGCCCAGACTGCCTGCCATGCGACACTCACGATGCCGCCCGGCAGCCACCACCCTAATATTATTGTTAGGATACCGCTTGATTTCTGGATTTGGGAGTAAAAGCACGCTGACACTTTTATGTGTCTAATAGTTTTAGATATGTTTCAAGTGTAGTAAAGGTATCATCTGCTAAAAAGCAGTTGCTTTGGCGGACTCCTTGAGGTACGTCCTCGTATCTCCGGAACCGCTTGTCCTAGAGCGTCGGCGACCTCGGCGTTAGACTCCCCGTGTCCTGGGGACCTCGACGACTCCATCGCGGTGACTCCCAGGTCGCAAATCGATTCCCAGGACGCATCCTGGTTACCGCATAAAATTCCCAGGGCTGGCCCTGGGAATTGCCAAATTTTCCCAGGACGGTCCCTGGGTCTTCTGGGCCGGAAGCGACTCCCAGGGCCGTCCTGGGAAAATTTCGCGTGTCCCAGGGTTGGTCCTGGAAATTTTACGCCATTTCCAGGGTCCGCCCTGGGAACACGTCAGGCCTCCTGGAAGCACGAAAAATGCCCTGGGAATCCCAGGCGATGGATTCACCGTGTAAACACTGAATTACAGATGACACCTACACAGGGGCAAATGTGGTTTTAGAGAGAGAGAGAGAGAGAGTCGATGCCCGCCCCATTTGCCACTTGCTCTACGATTCCTCTTCTATGTGCTTCAAGGTCGTGGACCCAGAGGCGAAGGGAGGCCACCTCGCCTTGGTGAACGACGCCACGCAGGCCGCCATCTGCAAGAAGTACTTCGGACAGAACTGCAAGGTCAACTCCCTGCAGAACTCCAAATCCAAGACATGGTTCGACGAAAGCGTCCTCAGCGCCTTCAGCAAACTCGACAAGAACGCCATCAACGGTGCGCGCGCAGCGTCGTGTCTCATCTAAGCGCCGCCATTGTGGCACGCTGCTCTTACTGCCCCCCTCTTCTTCTCCAACCGACTTTCCCAACAAACCTCTCGTGGTTGATGAGCACGTATTTTCGGAATAAACTGAACGTTAAGGTTTCTTTACTCTAACCTGCCTCTAAGCACCGATTTTTACGGCCCTCTCGTACTCTCCAATTGAGTTTGCCTATAGACCTTCAGTGGTCACACTACGAATCCAAAGGGCAGACTTCTCGCCACTACAGAGGCGAGCGCGAGACGTAAAAGTCTCGCCAAGTTTTGGTCAGACCTGAAAGTCTCGCCAAAATTTGGTCAGACAAAAAAGTCTCGCCACAAAACGGTCTGACAAAAAAGTCTCGCCACATAATGGCGAGACTTTGTGTCTGACCGCCACCTAAAGGCCGTAATGCGCCGGACGGTTACGGCCTAAAGGCCGTGGTCAGACTCAAAAGTCTCGCCATTTTTTGGTGAGACTTTTGTGTCTGACCGTTTTGTGGCGAGACTTTGAGGTCTGACCAAAAATTGGCGAGACTTTTATGTCTTGCCATATTTTGGCACTAAGTCTTTCC